AGGAGCACGGATCAACGTAAAAAAAAGTCAAGAAAACTCGTTTGATACACCACATCTTGGTAACTATGGTAATTAAACATCGTAATCAAATGCTAAAAGTTGGATACAAAAAAAAATTCCCATAAGCGCCAACCATCACAAAATAAGGTGCAGGGTATGTGCCGTAAAAAGGTCTCGGCCATTATCGCCATCACTTTTTCAGGCTTAGCAACATAAAAACGTGAAAGATGAAGAAAAAAAGGAGGGAGGGGAGAGGAAAGCGTCGCTGAAGTGGGGGAGGAAATCGCGTCTGTATATATATTCAAGATTTCTCGCGCAGACGGGAGGAAAAATGGGAGCATGGAAACGAAGCTCAAGGGGTGGGATGGCACGGTGGCGAGGTGTAGGAGAGAAGCGGGAGAACGAAGGGGTGGCCTGGGGTGGCCAATAAGAGGCACTTTAAAACACCTTTTCCAGCGAGTCGACCCCCTCGGGATAGAGGACCACATGTATATACCGTTGCAGGAGCAGCATGAGCGCGCGCATACGAACTTTTTTTCTCCATCGCACCTTCCCCTCTTCCTCAGCTCCTGGATTTACATGTTGGACGTAACCAGCAAGGCCAAGGGGAAGAAAGGAAGAAAACGCCGAGCCACAACCCCTCCGTCACCCTCGGCATGTAGGAAAAATCTACGACGTATCGTCGCAAGGGCGATAAAGAGACTCGTGGACGAGTATTTGTGCGAGAGGGAGGAGACTATGGGCGCATACATATATATTTGTACAGCTATTATACGCGAGGGCACGAAGGTGAGGGTTGCGTTTGCCATGTACGTACAAATGCAGGGTGCGACGTGGCACAGGGTGGGGAGAGCAGCCGAGTCGCGACCAATGCCTAACTCTCGCGCGAGCAGCTTTAAAGCCCCCCGTGAGTTTATGCGAGGGCGGGTGTTGCGCGCGCGTATACCTTACGCGTGTATGCGCCGAATTGAAATGCCGGGACTGGAAAATCCAGGGGGGGCGTATGCTAATGACGAGCGAACGGGAGGCCACGAATCTCAGACAACGGGTCGCCCCTCGATCGGTGGGTGGAGATAACCGCGTTTCGTCGAGCTATGTTGTACATTATTTTTCCTCAACAAGCGAAGCATATAATTATAACACGCGTATGCATGAATACACAAGTGGAAGAACATAGTTTTTTTTTTTTTTTTTTTTTTCTATCGAGAGAAGTAAATTATCGCGATGGAAAGTACGGGACAGAAATCTGCATCCTTTGTTTTCGTACTGTACACGCACGTTCATGACAAAGAAAAATCATCCCCCCGCGGTAGACAATGAGAAAACAAGAATTCGTGCGCACGCGGGCAAACACACACGCACGCACCTGCCACGATGAGATTAGGGAAAAGAAAGGAAGGAAAGTGAGAGAGAGGGAGGAAAAGGTTGTTCGCCCGTATATACCAGACACACGGCGGGACGAGGGGTAGTAGCAGTGTAGTGGCCAGTCTCGAGAATGGATATTGCATACTCGGAGGGCTATCGAATGGCCAATTTCATCCCCTACTCTTTTCCCAGAGACGTAGACGCTGGACACATACAGACACACGTATATACTCGCCTAGCACTCGTGTATATACTCTCCCTACGAGAGGAGGTACGAGGATAAGGAGAAAGAGAGAAAAACCCTAAGAAAACGTGGGCATTTCGGTAAAAGGGCGACCCCCGTCCACCCCGACTAATTCTCCCCTTCTTTCTCTAGTTGTATCGCGTACACTCATTTTGCGTACGTGTACATATTCATGCATGGAAATGCATGTATCGTCTAAACAGAAAAGTCGTTTGGACACAATGTGTGTCAGCAGATGCTCATCTTCGGTGTACAATATTTACATGTACGTGTATAATGTTGGTAAAGGGTTGTAGTACCCCAAACGTGGACCCCCCTCTCACTCTATTTCTCTTGGATTATTCCGGTTACTCGATCACGCTCTCTGCTTTTGCTTTTCCATCCCTCTGGGATAGGGGTGGGGGTGGGTATACCATCGAAAGGAAGCATTTAACCCTTTTGTCTGCTTGTGCATGGACAAAGTCATTGATCACGCTACTGATGCGAGAAAACGTGATCAGAAAGGGAAAAACCTTCGTCACCGTCACCACGGAACACAAGAGAAAATACTGCACGAGGTTGAAGGTAAAAGCTCGTGTGTAGGGAAACCCGAGAATGCTCAATGTTATTTTGAAAATAATCATTATTAGCACTATGTGTTGTGTGATGATCGGTTGAGAAATTTATCGTGGAGTAACCGATCGATCGATAACTGTTGAATGGAGCGACCGATAACGCGTTACTCATTCTCATTATTGACGAATTTGATGATGCGTAAATAAGGAAAAACACATTTTCATGACTGTATGTAAAATTGGATTTTCGCCAATAAGGGTGTTTTTTTTTGCAGAAAGAAAATAAAGGAAAAAAAAAAAAAAATTGAACAGATACGTTTTGACGAAAAACCATCAGGATTAGAGTGATGGAATAATCGATTCCTCTCACACGTACACCTGACTGTACTGTTATGAAAAATCGACAATCGATTGTTCATCCGAAACTCCGTGCCCTTATCAGCCCTTCGGTGCATTCAAATGTAGGGGTATGGTCCCCTACAAAAACACACACATCTTCTCATAATTCCTTTGCGAATAATCCCCGAGCAAGTATATGCAGTAACGGCGAGAAGAAGAAGAAGAAGAAGACGAAGAAAGAGGAGAAGAAGAGGCGCGAGAAACAGCCAGCAGCTGTGGCGGGAGTGCGGATTCGCGAGCCCGTCTGCGAGGTGGGCGTGACCAGCTCCGACTCGCGATCCCCGGCCATTGGCGCTCGACTTCCCCACCGACGCACAAGTGTAAGAGAGCGAGACGGGGAGCCAACGTCGGGCTCTCCACTCCCCTCCTGGTGTACGTATATATACGTGCCGTGATAACAACGGGGCGAAGGAGCGACAGAGAAGGAAAGAAAAGAGAGGCCGCGCGGAGCCGGTGCGGGTGCTGCCAGAGCTCCACTACCACTGCCGATGCTGGCTGTTGCTTTTTTGCCGTCCAGCTCGCTCGCTCCCGTCGCGTGCGCCGCGGCCCGACTCCCTCGCCGGCGACCCGTCCCCCCCCCCACTGGTTGTACTCAAGAACGAAAGAGAGAGAGAACAGAAGGAACGTCCGTGTGGTGGCTCGGCCGGCTTAGAGCCTCTAGTGTAGCTGCACACATGCACGCGACAGCACCTACGGGCCGCTGCTGTTGCTGCCCGCACAGCCGCACGTCGTACTATTATCGTCGCCGTGGCCGTAGGCCCTGCTCGTCTTCTTCTTGTCGTTGTAATACTCGCGCTCGCCACCCTTACCGATCCGATCTCGCGGCGGTACCGATCAATCAACCCTTACCGATCTTCTTCGCGCCACGAAGCTTCGGATGACTGTCCTGCGGATATTGTTATTGTGGTTGTTGATCGTTTCACGTTGTCTTTTTACCCACGATCGGTGATCGGTATGTGACGGCTTACTTGTTCCGTGTCCATACTCGAGACGCACGATTACAATTAGGTGATATTTCGGCCGGGAACGGAAAGTGCATTCTAAGACATAAACATATACAAGTACCTGTGTAAAAAAAAAAAAAAAAGGAAAATAAAGAAAGAAAGGAAGGGTCCTGCGATACAGGACACCTAGACGACACGCGGCAGACATGTGAGCAAAATCACACCACCAGTAAAAACGAGTGGATGACAGGTGCGCGCGCGGTGTATCGTACGGGGGCAAAAGAAGCTCCGATCCTACTTGTGAAGGTATCTAAAAGTGCGTGGCAAGGTTGTGTGTAAAACTACCACGACGACCCTCGTAAGTACTTGTGTACGGTGTGCGCGTCGCAGCATCCAAGCTGCAACGATCTGTATTGTAGAGAACACGTGTGAGTGCGCGAGTGTGCAGCAATGCCGAGCTCATACGGCAGATCTACGATCGTGAGGTGACACCATCACCACCACCACCACTGACTGACCCTCGCTCCGTACAGTGCAGTAGATCTGTTGATGCAGTGTGTCCTTCGTCCTTTACGGTGCTCCGTACACCTGCCCTTGCGCTTCAGCGCCCGATGACACCTCGCCCCGTGCGAATGACTTAATTGCTCCTTTAGAGCACGAGTGACTCCAATTTTTTTTTTTCTTTTTCTTTCTTTTTTTCTTTTCTCCAAGAGAGGAAAAAAGTATAAGGTAAAATAGTGTCGTTGCAAGTGGAGAGTGTGTGCAAAAAGGGGACCAAAGAGCCGCAACCACGTTGGATCTCGCGGCTTTGAGCGGCTACGGGGCTGGAGGCGGCGCCACTGGTACCAGCACCAGCAACAACAACAACAACAATAACAACACCAGGGGCGGGGGTGGCAGGATCTGCGGTCCGGCAGGCCTAGCCAAAGTCGCCGCGGTGGCGGGCACCGGGGTATTGGCGCTGCCCGGCTCGCTCAACGACAAGGGCCTGGCGCTCCTCGGCCAACACCACCACCACCACCTCCTCCACCACCGACACCACCACCATCAAAACCTCATTCTGCAGCAACAGCAACAACAACAGCAGCATTACCTTCTCGGTGGTAGTGGTAACAGCCACCACCAGTACCACCATCACCAACTGAACAACAATAACAACCAGGAGCAGTTATCGGGGTTGGGTCCGCAGGCTGCGACTGCCAACAAGACGAAGAGCGCCGCCACCGCTGCAGCAGCAGCAGCCGCTGGCTTGGCGGGCCTCGACAGCGAGGCACTGCGCCGTTGGGTGGCCGAGGCCGCTCGCACCGTACGCCAACAACAGCCACCACCGGCCCTCGTCGCACCCCCGTCGAGCTCGCAGAGCCACCAGGTAACCTCGACCACCCCCCAATTTGGTCCCAGCCACAACAACAACCACCACCACCACGGGGGTAGATCGGCGGTGCAGAACAACAACTCGGCGAGCCAACAGCAGCAGTCGCGCCACCACCATCCCAACAACCGTAGAGTGTCTCTGGGCTCGAGTCCCAGTACACCCCCGGCGCAGCCGTTCGCACTGGCCGCCGCCGCGTCGATGACGCAAACCCCGAGCATGCATCTCCTTGAGAGCAGCGGCGGCAACAATCTCGCGGAGGCTATGGCCGCTCAGCAACAACAACAACACCACCACCACCACCACCACCATCACCAGCAGCAGCATCAACAACAACAACACCAGCATCACAACAACAGCTCGAGCCAGAAGCAAAAGCACAACGCGAGCCCGACAAACAACAATACGATAGAGGTGTGGAGGTCGATGCAGGGGGGAGCCGGGCACCAGTGGTGGACCCCGGCAGCCCTGGGCCACCAGCCCGAGCAGGCCCAGCAGATCGTGTTGTCGAGCGTCGCGGGTCAGACGGCCGCCCAGACTCTCTGCCAGCAGAAACAACAACAACAACAACAACAGAGCTCGAGCGTCCAGCAGCAGCAGCAGTCGGAGGTAATAGACCAGCCTCTCGACTTCTCCGTCGGCTCGCTTCATCAGCAAGTGCCGAAGATCCAGCAGCCGAGGCCGAAAACCGTGCAGGACAAGCTGCAGGCCAGGAGACGGCACGACAATAACAACGGCACCGACGCCCTGCCCAAGATGGCCAAGGTGCCCCGCAGGAGCTACAGCCCCAGCGAGGGTAGCGACAGCGCCAGCGAGGACGAGGGAGTCTCCACCGGGGGCAGTCCCAGCGCTACCCTCCGCGCACTCGAGAACGGTCAGTCAGATTTTTTTTTCATAATTTTTTTACCGCATACCGGTACAGGAGTGGCATGTATCCCCAAATTGTCGAACTTTGCGGTGCAATAACGAGCGAAGGGGATCCATTTATCCGCGATCCGCTTGACCCCGCTGCCAGATCTTTGGATAAGCAATTGTTTTTATCTGGATCGTACAAATTGGCGGGGAAAAAAAAAATGTCGAAAAATACATCTTTGGATCCGGTGGGAGATCGATCGTTATTCCACATCAACGAGGGTCAAAGTAGCAATATATATACGATCCTGCAATAATTAGACAAATAAGTACTGTGTCGGGGCAGGAGGGATCGGGAAACGAGTGACAATAACGAGGTGATTTTCGGTGTTTTAGCACGTGCCTGTTATGTGAAATACATGTAGGTAGTACGTTACGATATACACATTCACCGGCCCAGCTGTCAACTATTACAACGCGACCTTTTAAAAAGCCGGCGTGTATCCCGAGAACGTGTCATTTCACGCACACGCGCACCATGTGTGCCCCGAGATTCCGTTGACAGGGGCCGATCCTTCGACTACTTTCGACAACTTGACTCCACACCTTTCTTTTTTTTCTTTTTTTTTTTTTTTTTTTTTCTTTTTTAAAGCCTCATAGTCAGACACCTCGGATCTCTCGTATCGAAGATTTTCGCGATAAAAACACGTGCTTTACATCTGGCGTACGAAAAAAAAAAAAAAAAAAAAAAAAAAAAAAAAAACAGACCCATCCGTGCGGTATAATCTCGTTGCCTGTATTGATTGGAGCGACACGCGCTCGGTGTATTTGACTTATTTATCTCGCGTCCACTACGAGCTCGATAACGTACTTGTGTACCTTTGATATTGTCGAGCGATACACGTGTATATATCCGCGGCGTGTGATATTCAATCAGAAGTGCGACTGCATTAGCATATAATTACACAGACGCGCACATGGCAAATCAATGATATCGGCAGGAGAGAGAGAGAGAGAGAATTGATTGATCGTGTGCCGTGCCCCGTTATTTGTTGCGATTAGAGCAATTGACGTATGGTTGCGTTGTTAATTATACACCGCTCGAGACTACATAATAATTACTGTCCTTTTTTTCGCATCATTTGCAAGAGGGAACCCATGAAAATTGCGTTTTCTAAATTTATTAACGAGATCGGGATTGATCGGTTTATTGAAATAAGGCGCAATAGCGTAATCGGTAAACTATACAAGTGTACCAATATGATGCGAGTACATAGGTATATCGATTTTATCGCTCCTAACACTGACGCTTATCTTTCATCTCTTTTTTTTCCAAACTCTGTCGTTTTTCACGTAATTACCTACATCGGATTAATAGTAAAATAACAATGATAAAAGTTCGCTCCGATGATTTTATACAGATAGGGGTAATCGACGAAGAGGAAACTTCGGGAAATGCTTTTTGAGTAATCATTTTGTTTCAAGGGTACATTATATCGTGCGACTATTCCATTTGTCGTCGAGCGTTGCGTACTATTTTTTCTCGATTTTTTCACGTCAATTTTTATTATACAGGCCTTATCGTATTGTTTACGCAATGGAGTACAGATAGTCGGCGAAGACTCCAATAATTTACAACATCCATGCATGTCCGAGAATAATCAACAACATCGGGTATAGGTACGAACGGTTGGGTTCCATTACTTACCAAAAAAGCGTGTAGCTCTGGCGCAATCGTCGCCACACTCCCACAGCCAGGAAATTACTCAATCGATCCGAAAGTTAAAACCTTATCGGCCCGAATTTTTCTCCGAGTCTCGTGTCTGTGAATCTCGGTCGTTTACAGCCCACCGACGTAGGAAAACCTGGAAAATTCCAAAAATTTTATCTCGGTGAGTAACGTTTCATTAAACATAAGAATAAGAAAAAGAAAAAAATTTATTTAATGTAAACAATAGTTGGTAATCATTAACAAAAGGCTATTTCGCAACTCGATGCAAACGCTCAATTGTTGCTCGTGCATTTAAATGATTCATCGAGGGAATAAACTGATACGAGCATTGTACATACTCTGTGACACTATAGATTATATTTTTTTTTATTTAAACTACATTAAAAATAAAATCCTAACCATCGTAGAATGCGTGTTATGGTCGTAAAAATTTCAAACTCACCCCCACCACCCTAAAGTAGAGGTTATTATTATTCAAAGGGGAACACTATTGATCGGGGATGAAAAAAGAAAAAAATCAATCGAGCCAAGAGCAGATTATCGCTGCGACAACAATCGTCACCGGGACACTAATACCAACAAGAGGGCACCACCGGGTGATGGCTGGATGGGGGGGAGGGGGGAAGAGCACAGGTGTAATCTTTGATTCGTGCCGCGGCACGACTGATGTTTGCCTGATGGCTTTGGCTCAGTCGAAATCCACTCCCTACCCTTTTCTTCTTCTTCTTCTTCTTTTCACAGACAAGGTGTGTATATACCCTTTCCAGTTGTCTCTGCCTTTCTTTGCAGGCGGTATAGGTATACAATACCCTTTGGGAGTTGCGTCGCCCATCTTCGGCCCGCTCTGTTATTAGCACGATTACGCCCAGGCAAATTGTTACGGCGCCTACTCTCATCGCTGGAGAATCGTGAATACATTATTTCCGCGGCGCCAGTGACAGCAGCGGGAGAAGCCCTGCACGGCTCGTGCGGTCTTTTCGGGTACAAGAGAGTGCGAGAGGGAGAGAGATTTATGCGTTTCTCGCGAAGGGATTTCATTGTTTTTCGCGGTAGTTGCGTATAAGTATTATACTGCGCGGCTCGCTCGCGATATATTTTGCAGGAAGTGGATTTCATGCAAAAGTTACCTCTGCACTGGGGTATTCTGTGATTTTTCTCTTTTACGGATGTCGAGATTTTTTTTTTCACGATTGCGTGTATATTATGTATGTACGTGTACACGGTGTTGTTATTTTTCACTTGGACTACGCAATAAATGTAAAAGTATGCATGAATAAAGATTATTTACTATTCTTGAAGGAGCAAAAAAAAGTATCATTCCTCTTGAGCGCGTAGCTTTGTTATTGTTCAGGGAATCGGTGCAGATGTAAAAATATACACTACGCGAGTCATAAAACTCAATATTAACTAGTCTCCGAGGAGTCGATTGTAAAATTATTCTTTCTTTTTTCAATGAAGATCGTGTTTTGATACAACTATACGAGAAAACAATTGTTATTTTAATTTTTTGTATTAAAAAATAAACACATCTGTACCAAGAAACATCTGATTTTGCAAAAAAGACGCGACTAAAATATGTCAAATTCCAGAGAAACAAAATTATATTGCACAGTGCATCCAAAGCTGTTTAATTTATGCCACTTTTAATAATATTCTATTCAAGTATCAGGAGATACGGTATCATTAATAGGTTAACATGAGAATATAAATACCAAAAAGAAAGTTAAAAAATTCTACAATTGAGTACTATTTTTTGTCGTGAACAAGCGTTTATACTAAATATTATATTTTAAAACGTAAGATTAAAAAATTTAGGTATCGGAAAATCACTTTTTTTCTATTCCAGGTTAAGCTTAAACTTTTAAAGCACTAAGGTTGCTTTAAAAAAAAAGTATGTTGTGCAATATATACATATAAAGTCATTGTTAACTTAGGTACTCAAAATGTACTCATGATTTCTTTCTGTTGGAGAGAAAAAAATGTTCTTAATATTTTCGTACGTTTTTGCGTTATAAAACACATGCATTATATTTTAGAAAAAAGTAACCTATATACAAACAATTTTTGTAAATGTATTGTATGAAAACTGCTATAATTTGATTACATATTCATGTACATTCATACATACTCCATTCATACATACTTTGGCCTTGCTAGTTGTTCGTTTAAAATTATTTTTACACCGAAACAGTATTTTCGTATGATACTACACTTTTTGTTTTATTAAAAAAAAAATATATACAAGGCAAAACATTTAAAGAGTTTGATCTAATAACTTAGAATTCTAGAAATATTTGAATTAGTACAAAAAAAATAGTTTTTGATAACAGACCAAAATAAGCATTTTTAGATAAAAATTCAATGTTCGGAGATAAAAACAATTACGAAGCGATTGAAACGTATAGTCGAAACAATGTAGTCATTAACTGATGGCGGCTTATCAAATGGTCCTCAAAAATTCAATAATGAACCTGACTTCATGTTCTTTTTCTTTTATTTTATCATTTTGTTCTTGCACATAAATTACAGTAATCTACGTAAATGTTTTTATAATCAAAGTATGAAAAATTAACTCATTGAGTTTAAAGAAAGTTGTGGTTAAGGAAAAAAAAAAAAAAAAAAAAAAAAGTACACCACAACTTAGTAATAAAAAGTGTTAGTCGCAACAATGCAAAAGAAAATTACTGAAAATTAATCACAATCAATCCTTCGAGCTGAGCCTCGCCAAGGCACACTTTTACTTTAGCTCCTGCAGCCGCCATCGCGTCGCCGGCGTGATTTTTCTCCTGCTTTTTCTTTAATTTCACTCGAGAGCGAGTCAAAAAAAAAAGGTAGCCGATGTTTCGCAGCCATTCGCCTATCAGCCACGACAACAAAGCTGTCTTCTGTATACCTATACTGTCTCTTGCGTGCGGGAAATTAAACCCCGTCTCCTCTCTCGATTCGTGAAAGCGTACGCTCATCGCGACTATACAACATCGGATTCGTGAGCTTCACTCTGACGAAACGAGCAATAATCTTTCAGCTCCACGAGTCTTTGAGAAGCTGTGCCTTTAAAGTACATAAGGCCTTTTAGTTTTCCGGCTGCAAATCGCGCTGGACCTCGTCCGGATGTCGATCGACTATACAATTGTCAAGCCAGATGTTTCGATAATTAAAAGAGAAAGCCGATCGATACGTAAGGTGTGCCCGCAAATTGCAATCAGCCACTCGTGATTCACGAGTAGGTGATAACACAAACACCGTATACCCTCCACTAATCCGGGTGCGTATACCGAGGAAACGCTAGC